AGAGGGCAGAGGAATATCATTAATTACCATCTCCTCCAGCAGCCTCTGCAGTTTATTGCTAGCTACCAACTTCAAATGGGGGCTTTGCTGAATCCTGGGAGGTGCCGAGGTAGAGGAAGACTGGGAAAAAAAAAACATGCCACCCCCCCCATTTTCCTTCTCAAAAACCCCACTGATTCTCCCTATAAAATTATGTGACATTTTATATTATGAAGAAAATATACAATTAAATTTTTATTTTAGAAATCCCTAGTGTTTACTGAGAATGCATATTTACATTGCAAACAAACCCTTTGGGTTTTGTGCTGCCAAGTATTTTCAATCCTATTTCAACTTTTGGGGGGATAAAAAAGATGCAAATTTCTTACTGTAACTGACATGACTGAGTGCTACAACACGCTGCATTATATATTACTTTGGTTTGCCATTGCTGCAGCAACATAACATTAAGCACTGCTACCATATTTGTTACTAAGATATAATTTTATAAAACAGCACAGGCATACAGTTCTTCCCTGGCTTCACTTCTCGTTTTTTTCTTTAAGGTTAGCAGGCATTTTTGTTTCCAGAATAAAAGATGCCATTGTAAAGGAAGGGAGGAGCCTGGAAAATAAGTCTGCAGAAAATTAAGCAGCAGAAACAAGCGCTTACCTGAACAGTTACTTGGAAGTACTTGGCCAACCAGAGAACCATTGCCCCATGCATAACTGCATTTTCAAACCTCTGCGCTTTACAGAGTGGAAAAGGGATGTTTTCTACCCTAACCTAACAAATAATAAATAGTCCCATCAATAAAGTGAGAGAGGCTTTTAGAGATGGTTATATAGAGTGTACCCAACGCAATTTATAAAAAATACACAGCGAGTTGCACGAGTATTTTTCAGTAAAAAATCAGCTTCTTGACGTCAACAGAAATTTTGTCACTCACTTCAGTGAGATCAGGATCTCACCCATTGAGATTAATGGGACTATTGTTCAGTATAAATCTCGAATCCAGCAATGCATTAAAATTCTTGTACAACTGTAAACATGAGGGGTCCTGTCAAAGCTTATGGACCTGTTTTTCTACCCTGCATCAGTCATTTACATCAGTGCAAAACAAATGTGAACAGATAAAAATCGCTATACAATCAGAACCGCGTATGCACAGCATGTACGTGCCCTTGCCCTTCCCGCGACAGGGAGCGCCTGGGGTACAACCAGGGAGTCACCCGCGCGGCCTGTCTGCACCCCAAAAATGACTCAGGCAAGAGCTACATAAGGGCTATGTCGGTCAGCAGACCAAAGCGTGCAGGAGCCGCTCGTCGAAGATTTTTGTTAAAGGGACTGAGTCAATAAAACAACATCAGACAGAAAATCCACAGTATTAAAGTCATGGATTGTTAAAATATTTTACCAACACAGTCTCCCTCTTTACTGATTATCCTTTCTCTCTTGCCTTTTACTTTGCAGGATAATTAAATCGGACTCTCAGACTTGGTTTTAATTTCTGGTTCATATGCCCTCAAACCATGCTGCTGTGCTTTGGACTCATAGTCGTGCAGGGGAGTATTTGTAT